TTTCTTAACTAATATGCTGGCTTTCTTAAGACATTGGATTTCATAATCTCCTGGCTTTTCAAGGAGCTAATGGGAACCAAAGCGCTCCTGCACAAAGCCCCTATTATGTTTTCCCTCCACCCCTCCTTTGAATTTTCCTTCTTTATGCTACATTTTGTCCTTTCTTTTCTCTTTTGACATTTGGATTAAGTTTTAAACAAGTTAATATAGAAAACGTAGCCATGTGGTTTGTTCTCCTCTTTTAAAATGTGCTTTTGTATATTCTTACTCACCTTGAGAGGAGGCCAAGTTTCCCCTTTGCTGTACAAGCTTGACGACACGCTCTGAGAAGGTCCCAGTGGCATACGCCTCCCAAAATCCCGGCTTTGGAGACGTTTCGCTCCGTGGCCTCCTCGGGTACCCGCTCCCGGTTGCCCGGGGTGCCCTGGGAATGGCAGCCATCTGGAAGACGGAACCGAAATTCAAAATGATCCAGATCGGCTAGAGCCCCGGGTTGAAAACCACAGAATGAAATTCGACAGAGAGAAGTGCAAAGGACTGCACCTCGGAAAAAGAAACCAAACACACACATTTAGTTACAAGATGGGGGGGGGGATACCTGGCTCAGCAAGGCTATGAGCAAAAAAGGATCTGGGAGTCATTGTAGATCACAGGCTGAATATGAGCCAACAGTGTGATGTGGCTGCAAAAAAAGCCAATACAATTTTAGGATGCATTTAGGAGACTAGACGTTTGGAGACGTCTAGTCTCCAAATCCCGCTAGTTCCCCTCTATTTGGCACTGGTTAGGCCTCATCTTGAGTACTGTGTCCAGTTCTGGATACCGCCCTTCAAGAAGGATGTGTACAAATTGGAGGAAGTTCAGAGGAGGGTGACAAGGATAATTAAGGGAATGGAAACCAAGCCCTGTGAGGGAAGACTGAAGGAACTAAGCATGTTTAGCCTTGAGAAAAGAAGACTGGGGGGGGGGAAGCATAGGATAGCAGCTTTCAAAGACTTGAAAGGCTGAGGAGGGGCAAGATCTGTTTTTCCTCCTTGCTGAGTGCAGGGCATGTAATAATGGGTTCAAGTTACTGGAAGCCAGATTTAGGCTAAATGTCAAGAAAAACATCACAACTGTTCGAGCAGTACAACGTCGGGACCCATGACCTCAGGAGGTGGTGAGCGCTCCAACGCTGGAGGCCTTCCAGAGAACCCTGGACAGCCGTGTGTCAGATCTGCTTTGATTTGGATTCCTGCTTTGAGCAGGGGCGTGCGTGGACTTAATGGGTCTTCTAGGCCCCTTCCAACTTCATGATGGTATGATTTGATCTGTTTTTGAAGCGTCACTTCCTTTACAGGGGAAATGCCACCATGGCGTGAGGTCCTGAAATTCTGATGGCCTTTGCTCGTCCCTCTGAATGGGTTGCCCAAGTTGCCAGGCAGAGACGGAGGGCGAGAAGGGTGCCAGGAGCTGCCCGACTATATGCCAGGCTCTACTGGATTTCTGGGAGCAAACACTCATAGCATGGTGTGCCTGGCTCAAGACTTCAGCCCCGAAACTGTGTTCACACATAAACCGGGTACGGAGGATGTGGAGAAGATGCTCGGCTTGTCGTGTACGGCAGCTTTTCTCCCTCTTCTCTAGCCGAGCTTCCCATGTGAGATGGGCCAATGACGGGCACCTAGAAGAGGTCTTTCAAGCGATGTGAACAGGCTAGCGAAGGAGGCTTGTGTCTCCAGAAATGAGAACTCAGTGTGTGTGTGGGGGTCTCCTGAAGTGGAAGGGCAGGAGACACAGAAAGGAGAAAACGAAGGCCTTTTTCCCACCCCATGGATACTTGCCTGGTGAAATTCTCTGCCGGAGGCGTCCACCAACTTGGGCATCTTTAAAAGAGGGTTAGACAAATTCAGGGAGGTTGGTTACCAGTCAAGGTGGTTCTATGGGGCCTCCGGGAGGGGGCGGCACGTGGCGCTCAGTTCCTGGTGAGCATAAAGAGGAAGAGGCTGTGGGCCTCAGGTCTGGGGGTCGGGGGGGGGCTTCCCGTGGGAGCATCTGCTTCGCAGAGAAGCCTCGTGCGGCGCAGTGGGTAGACTGCAGTTCTGTTGCCCACCTGGGCAATCTTCAAGCCGACGCTCGGAACATGGCGGCAGTCTCCAGCGCTGACAGATTCCATCACCAGAACGGAGACTTTCCTACTGAATCAAGCACAACAGCTTTCGGTCAAGGGATTCACAGATTCGCACACGTACCCAATGGATGCATGCAGAGAAAACTGCACGCTTCCCCTCAGGTTTATTCGCAACAAGCCAGCTTCACCACCTGGACTGCAACGTAAAGGAACCCAGAGAGCAGACTTAGAAAAGTGGGCGTAAAAGACTCTGCAGGAGCGGACGCAGACGGAGGCAGGGAAAGTGGGATTTTTGGACAACTGCTGCCAGACTCTCGTGCCCAGGAGGACCGCTGGCCGTGTCTTCTGGGCGCCTTCCGGGGCTTGTTGCTCACAATGAAAGCACCCTTTCCAAGCCAAGCCCAAAGGTGCGGGTCTCTGCCTCCGTCAGGTTTCCGCACAGCAGCCTTGGGTGGAAAAATCGTCTAACTGGGACTCGACACCAGATGCTTCCCAGTGATTGTGGAAAAAGCTATTAAAAAGTAAGCCCAGAGCTGTTCGCACCGCTTTCAAACTTGGGTCTTCTTTCAGGAAAATGGGGCACGTGGAAAGGTTTTGGGGCAAAGGACCAGAAGGTGAGGAGAGGGCCTGAAGAGGAGGAAATGAAGAGAGAGATTGGAAACAGCTTTCCCCAAATTTCTAGCCTTGCCTAATTATCTGAAATGGGCCACGGCAAGGAGTTTGCTCCACCGCCACGTGACGGTAATGGCTATTCCTGCTGTGGCGCTTCTGCTAGCAATCGGCAGACCACCTGAGCTCCTGACATGTTCCCTGGGTCCAGGTGTCTGGAAATCCCATCCAGGGCTGCTGCTGACGCCAGCCTTTGCCAAACATCTGATAATTGGAAATATTGGAAGACTGGGCCTGTGTTAATCCAGGAACTGTGTTCATTTCATTGAGCCCCGTTTCTCTACAGCCAGAAATATTTCACCCGAAATGCCACAATTAGGACGTGATAAAAAAAGGCCTCCTCACATGGTGCCTTGTGCATCTGGGAATAAGAGGTGAGCCGAAAAGCACGCCACCGGGTTCCTTTTCAGGTTGGGTCTTGCGGCGTTGGGCATGCCATTAACAGACGTTATCCTCCATTAATTTTATTGGCCAAAGTTCCTAGCGGAATAGAGCCAACGGCTAACGCTCGGAGCTCCTTCTCTTTAGAACGGGGCTAGCAAAAGCAGAATTCCAGGCCTTTCCAGAGACCCTGAACCAGAAGATGGTGTTTCTAGGATCTGAACGGATAGACGACTCTTAGAATCCTAGAATAATTGAGTCGGAAGGGGCCCTGTAAGGCCATCGAGTCCAACCCCCTACTCGAGGCAGGAACCCAAGTCAAAGCAGATCAGAGAGCGGGTTCTCCAATTTTCTCTTGAAGGCCTCCAGCGTTGGAGCGCTCACCACCTCCTGAAGTAACTGCTTCCATCATCGTACTGCTCTAACAGTTAAGAGGTTTTCCCTGCTATTCAGGCTTCCTGTAGCTTGAGCTCATTATGACATGTCTTGTACTCTGAGATGATTGAGGACAGATCCTGCCCCTCCTCTGTAGGGCTACCTTTCCAGGATTTGCAAAATGCTCTCATATCTTGATCTCGCCATGGGGTAAGGGCTGCCACTGCAGGTGCTTTGCAAATAGTGGGATCTAAGCGTTGGAGGGGAACCTAAACTAGTTCAACTCCCTGTTTGAGGCAGGCAAGGCTCAGCTAGGCTTAACAATCTCCACTAAGAGAGAGCCACTGGTTTCCTTCTCAGGCTGCAGAAAGATTAAAATCATAGGGCTGTGTAGCCGGGAGGGGCCACCAAGGTCATGGAGTCCACCCCCTCCCGACAAAGCAGGAGGAAGAAAAGCAGTTGAAACATCCCAAGCAGGGGACCATCCAACTTCTCCTTAAAAGCCTCCAGCTAAGGAGAGTCCAGCAGGGATGTGGTGGCGCTGCGGGTTAAATCGCAGAAGCCTCTGGGCTGCAAGGTCGGAAGACCAGCCGTCGTAAGATCGAATCCAAGCTCCCGTCGCTTGTCCCAGCTCCTGCCAACCTAGCAGTTTGAAAGCATGTAAAAATGTGAGTCGATAAATAGGGACCACCTCAGTGGGAAGGTAATGGCGTTCCGTGTCTAGTCGCGCTGGCCATGTGACCATGTAAATTGCCTACAGAGAAACGCTGGCTCTACGGCTTGGAAATGGGGATGAGCACCGTGCCCTAGAGTCGGACACGACTGGACTCAATGTCAAAGGGAACCTTTACCTTTATCATTAGGAGAGTCCACTGCCCTCTGAGGCCATCCATTCCCTTGTTCAAACCAGCTCTCGCTGGAGAGTCCACTGCCCTCTGAGTCTGTCCATTCCCTTGTTCAAACCAGCTCTCGCTGTGAGGAAGTTCTTGCTAATGTTTAGTCACAATATCCTTTCTTGTTCTTTGTATCCACCGGTTTAGGAGCCACAAGGAAGAACCTTCTCCCTCTTCCGCGTGGTAGCCCTGCGGGTACCCTGTTGTAGTGACTGGAGGAAGACGGGGCTTAGGTTGGCGGGGAAGAGCATGGGGTCCATCCTCTGGCAGGGAAATGAGGAGAGGATTACAAGCAGGACCCTTGACTTTCCCCCAGTGAAACGCTCTCAACTGCTGGAACACAAAACGTGGCTGGTTTCTCCTCCAGGGCGGCATGACAGACGACAAGAGCGATGATGGGAAGTCGGTGTCCACGCTCAACTTTGGGGTGAATCGACCCACCATTTCCTGCATCTTTGACTGTACGTGGCAAGGGCACTTGTGGGAATGACTGTACTTTTGCTCCTCAGTTCGGGAAGTGAAATGGTTGGGTGGGTGAGTGCAGGCGCAGGGCACAGACAAAGCTGGAAGGAGAGCGTGTTGACACCCGATGAGAGTCCCGAAACCTCCTCGGGCTCAGATTTTGCACGGAGGAAAAACTTTCCAGGTAGTCCTGCAAAGGAACTAGCCGCGAGCGCTTCCAGGGACACCCCAAAAAGCTAGAGGTGCGGCGATCGGAAGTGTCTGTGGGACTGCAATTCTGGCCACCTCTTGCAGCTGCTTCGGGGGTCCGTCTGTGGTGGACCCTCCCTCAGTCTCCCTGACGGGCCCATGCGGGTGGAGGCTGGTGTTAGTTGGGCTCCGGTGGCGACAGGAGGGTGGCCAGTTCCCCCCTCCCCCTGCTGTGTCAGGGTGTGTGTTTTGGAGGGGGACATTCGGCAACCCACCCAGGAAGAGGCATCCAAAATCCTGCCAACCCCCCAACCCCCCCCGCTTTACGCAGGATGGAGAGAGATGATGGTTGTTACCTGGAGCCCCGTGCCAGCCGCTGTTTTTGAGACCTGGTCTTGGGAGAAGTTCCTCTCCTTTCTTGGACTTCCTGACACATTCTGGGAGCTGTGGTTCAAACACAGCTGTGGGAGATCTCTGTGGGAAAGGGCTGGAAGGTGGCCCGGGGCCGGGGCAGGTCCCTGGCACCCCTTGGGTCAGGGTTGTGGCCTGGGGCTCAGGAACCCCTAAGAGGAGAGGCCCCTTGTAGCGACCCAGACCGGAGCATGGTGGCTCGAGGGGAGCCCTTGAACCTCGTGGTTCTCTCTCTCTCTCTTCTAGTCAGGGCGGCCCTCCCCCCCACTGTGCAACTCACCCTCTGGTCCAGCTCACAGCAGAACATCTGGAATCAGAAAGCGTTCTGCACCGCAGGACACAGATGGGGGAAAAAACAACATTTTTGGCCATGACTATCAGCACCCCTCAGCCCATGGGACAAGCCAGCCTTCTGGCCGTTGTAGCCAAAGAAGTTACTTTCTCCTTCCCTGCAGCCCTGAGAGGAAAAGAGCATCCTCCGGTTGGCGCAGCGTCCTCCAGACCACATCCCTGCTCCCTGCCTTCGGGGGGGGGGGGCGCGTGCGTCTTCTTAACCACATCTCCCATTTGTCCGAGCCAGATGGGCCGATGATGCTTCTTTTTCTCCTCTTGCTTGTTTGTTTTCTCACTGAAGATGGAAACCGGTACCACCTGCGTTGCTACATCTATCAAGCGAGGGACCTGATGGCCATGGATAAAGACAGCTTTTCAGGTAAGGTTCCTCTGCCTGCCTGCTTGCTTCCTTGGTGCCGGGGAGGCGGATCCGAGGGCTGCCGGTGTCTCTGACCCCTGGTTTCCCTTTCGTCCGGACTGGGGATGAAGGGGGCAGTGTGGCCCGCTGGTTCCCAAAGGCATGCTCACGTCACAGTGGCTGTTTCTGTGTCACCAAACTAGCGGTCAAAAGAAGGGCACACAAAATGGTTTGTGTTGATTTCTATGTCAAGGATTAGAACCTGCCGGTTTTGAGGTGGAAACAGATGGCCAGGATTTGCCTCTCTGCTTGTAGCAATCTTGTGCAGGCTTAATGGCTGAGGAAATGCTTTGGGAGAAGAGGAGCATCGGCCTCTGTAGGTTGCCCATTCCAGCTCAGGAATTTGCAGAGAGGCCCGCTCTGCAGGGGTGCAAGGAAGGTTTGCTGGCCAACAGCTGCATTGCCTCCTCCGGCTGTTGTCTTGTGAGGACAACCTATGCGCCTGGAAGCGTACCCCCCCTCCCTCCCAGCCCTGGGGCTCCCCAAGATGGGATCTCCGTTGCCCTTAAGGTTTAGCAAAGCCTGGAACCAAGCACCAATGCTGGACATTGGATCCCTCAGCTCATGGAATCAGAGACCTCTAGAGTCGGGAGGGACCCCAAGGGTCACAGAGCCCAGCATCCGGCCCCTCCTCGGGGCTCCCACTCCTTCACAAATGCACGTCCTCGAATGAGACTTTCTGGGCCAGGTGTCATAAACCAGGGAGGAAAGCTGGCCCGAATCTCTCCCTGGAAATGTCTCTGGTTGGGCCTCGTGGTGACTTTCCATCGGAAAACCGGATGCTGTAGCAGTCCGGGATTTCATTTCTGGAGCTGCCGGCATCCCTCTCTCTCTTTCTCTCTCTCTCTTGTGTGCGCCCTTCCTCGGATGTGCTCCCAGCACGTTCCTTCTGCCGTCTGACTCCCTGGACCACGAAACCATTTCCCGGAAAACTCTCTTTCACCCCAAGCGCTTCCTCGGATGCGCTCCCAGCACGTTCCCTCTGCCGTCTGACTCCCTGGACCACGAAATCATTTCCCGGAAAACTCTCTTTCACCCCAAATTTTGAACTGGGCCCAGGCGAATGATTCCCCCCCCTTCCCGTTCGTCCTGCGGGACCGGCTTTCTCTTCCACAATGAGACTGTTCTTCTCTTTCGTCTCTCCCATTTTTTATAATTTTTTTCGGGGGCGGGGGTGATAGGGAGGGGCGTGTGCGCGTGTGTGCGTGCCGGTTGCCTCGCCTTAAAACCTGCTCCAGGAGGAGTGATCTCATCGCTCCTCATTGGCCGGGCTGAGAGGGAGTCACTTTTTTCGGGATGGAGGAAGGCCAGGGGCAACACCACACACAGGGCGCAGGGACACAATGAGCTATTGTGGCTCCCCTTCGGTGGAACAAAGCATAAAGGAGCACTCGGAGGAAGCGTTCCATGGCTATAAAAATAAAACCTGGTGGAGATAGAAAGCTTAGACAAAGAGTCTTTTTACAAGGGTTTCCTAAATTCTGTTTATTGCCATGTATTCAGCATTGCTCACGCTGGAAAAAACAACCACTGACCCCTAAGACCGACACGCTTCTCCTAGCAGGAGTCCTGCCTGCTGTAGCCGATCCTATCGTAAGCAGTCTGGCTCATTAAAGACCTGTGTGTCTTTAGTGGGAATGCCAGTAAAGAGGAGGGAAAGGGCCATGGAGTTGGAAATCTCCGTGCGTTGCAGCGTGGAAGAGGCAGCAGGCTGGGCTGGCCTTCTTCAGGCTGGAGGACAATGTTTTGAAGGTCCATTGAGGATCTTGAACACGGAAAGGAGGGCAGAAATTCATAAGATGCCAGCTTTGTACTTTTGTTGTTGTTGTTTAGTCATTAAGTCATGTCCGACTCTTCGTGACCCCACGGACCAGAGCACGCCAGGCCCTCCTATCTTCCACTGCCTCCCGGAGTTGGGTCAAATTCATGTTGGTCGCTTTGAGGACAGTGTCCATCCATATCGTCCTCTGTCGTCCCCTTCTCCTCTTGCCTTCACACTTTCCCAACTCCTCCAGCACCACAATTCAAAGGCATCAATTCTTCGGCGGTCCGCTTTCTTTATGGTCCAGCTCTCAGTTCCATACATCGCTACTGGAAAAACCATAGCTTTGAGTATGTGGACCTTTGTTGGCAAGGTGAGGTCTCTGCTTTTAAAGATGCTGTCGAGGTTTGTCATTGCTTTCCTCCCAAGAAGCAGGCGTATTTTAATTTCGTGGCTGCTGTCCCCATCTGCGGTGATCATGGAGCGCAAGAATATGTCTAGGGAAAATAAAATATATATAGAAATGACCTTCTTGGGAATTTGTTTTTTTCTACCATTATTACGGCAAGAGTCACGTTCTTAGATATAGTGTCGGAAGATCCCTAAGTTTGATAGTTCAGGATGGGAGTCCCTACCCCTCCTGGGTTTCACGAATATTCCAAGCACCGCTGCTGTCCAGAAAAGACAGTTCAAAGGCCGGACCCTGGAGCAGCGGCAGAAGATGCCTGCTCACCCGGAGCCCTGGCCTCACTCGGGGACCCTTCGCCCTTCCTCTCCCGTTGTCTCCTTTGCAGATCCCTACGCCATCGTCTCCTTCCTGCACCAGAGCCAGAAGACCGTGGTCGCCAAGAACACGCTGAACCCCACCTGGGACCAGACCTTGATCTTCTATGAGATTGAGATCTTTGGGGCTCCCCAAAACACGGCCGCCTCCCCACCGAACATCACGGTTGAGATTTATGACCACGACACCTACGTAAGTGCATGGAGACGTTGTGGGGTTGAAGGGGGCGGGCAGGTGATCTTCACAGAAGTTTCTCAAAAAAAGGGCAAAAGGGGAAAAGACATTTCGGTATTGCTTTTAGTGTGTGTGTGTGTGTGCGCGCGCGTGTGCGTGCGCGTGCGTGCGTGTGTGTTTGCGCGCCTCAGACAGAAACTGAGACCGAATTTCTGGAGCTTCTTTCCTGGAAGCTTTGTTATGTGATGCCTGAGCTGTGATGCCTACCTTGTGAAAGGGCCTCTGCCCCAAGGAGCCTCCCATCTGAAATCCCACAATGGTGGAGGAAAACCTTTCGAAGTGCGGGAATAAAGGGCTCCGATTTTTTCCCTCTGATTCGGTTCCTATGCCTTTCAGAAGATTGAACGCTTTTTACTGGCATTTTATTGTCTTCTGCTTTTGCCCTCTCGCATGGTCACCTCGCCAGCCAGGTTGAGAGCCCTGCCTCGGCTCAGACACTGAGCGGCATATTTAATAACAGTAATAATTTTTTAAAAAATTCAGGGAAAGGGTGTCATGTGTATGACCGGCAGCCTCTCGCCTCTTCCGTTTTGGGCAGGGTGCTGATGAGTTCATGGGCCGTTGCATCTGCCGGCCGAGCATGGAGCGCACGCCAAGACTGTCGTGGCATCCCATCGTGAAGGGCAGCCGGAGTGCTGGGGAGCTTCTGGCTGCCTTTGAACTGATTCAGCGAGAGAAGGTGAGTGCATTGGTCGTGGCGGTGGAAACGTGACTCTTGCGGAAGAATGGGGGGAACGACTGGACATTTTTGGTAAGAATTCAACCAGATTTTCAAGAACAAAGAAGGTGGAGAGAACGTGGCATTTTAGAAGAAATAAAGGAGGGAGACCAGAATTAGATCATTTTGAATTTGGAAAAACTTGGGGCTTCAAATCCCTGCCTATTAATATATGCCAAATTCTGCTTAGAGGCTGGCTCTTTTCTCTCCCCCTCCCTCCCAGATGTGCCTCACCTTTAACACTTCGGCAGTGGTGTAGTGACCCCTGGGCTCAAGGGGTCAGAGCCCTGGGACCTTCTGGTTAGCAGGGACTATGGCCTCCTCCCCCCCCCATGCTTCACTGTTCCCTGTTTAGCTGTAATCTTCTCAGGAGTTGGCAGAAAAATGGATTTCCCCAGGAACAGTATGTTGTTATGAGCTACATCTGTTGTAATGCGGAGTATCTCAGGGCCGTTTGCCCTTGTTAGAACAATTAAAAGCTGTTAGCTTTCATATCATCGAATCAGGAAGTTGGAAGGGGCCCATGAGGTGATCGAGTTCAACCCCCTTCTCAACGCAGGAATACCACCAAAGGATATCTGCCAGGTGGTTGTCAAAGTTTTTCTTGAATGCCTCCAGTGTCGGAGCACTCACCACCTCTCGAGTAAGTGGTTCCACTATCGTACTGCTCTAACAGTTATGAAGTTTGTCCTGATATTCCACCGAAATCTGGCTTCCTGTAACTTGACCCCATTATTACATGTCCTGCACCCTGGGATGATCGAAAACAGATCCTGCCGCTCCTCTGAACGACATTTTTCCAGTATTTTATCCCATCAGCTTTCCAAAAGACCTGCCCCTCATTTGTTGATACAGTGAAGTCAAGCTGCTTATAGACTTACCTTTTGCTAGGGGTGTGTGTTTTAAATTTAAGACTGCATTATTGTTCTTAGGGTTGAAACAGACATTACAAATAGCCCGTCTTTAGAAAAGCCAAATACTTGAGCTGATTGTGTGTGAGTGTCGCAGCAGGAACATTTCTCACCTCCTGAAATCTACACATCAGCTAATTATTGTTTTGTGATGGGTCTTCGGAACTGAAGCGTGAGATCCTTTTGAAGTCTTAAAGATGGAAATCCGTCTCAAGGTTGGCATCTGCCTCTTCATGTCAGGCAGGGTCTTCCTTCCGATGCCCTGTCTGTTGCCTTTGACAGGTGCTGATCAGAGACAATCCTGTATTATTTCGTTTTTCAAGAATGTGCCAAAATTTTCAATCATTCCCAAACAGAATGCAAGGTTAAGAAAAAAGGGGAAAGGAAAATGGCTCATTTTTTCCATTCCTGGTCTTGAGGGCTCGCTCGGGAGAGACCGAAGCCCAAGGCGCAGGAAGCAAAAGAACAGAAGGTACAGAGGCAGGGAAGAGTCGGGGCAAGGAGCCTACCGGCGGGCTGGGGCCAAGGAAAGATGACTCAGGCTGCATTTGTGGTGTTCCTTCCTCCTTGGGGAGAGCTGATCTGTTCGGGTGCCAGGAACGCCACAATCTCAGGGAGGGGAGGCGAGGTCGCAGATGGAGTCCCCCACCTCCCACCCTCTAGCGTCTCTCCATTTCCCCACTCACACAGCCTCCTTTGGAGTCAGGGAATGGATTGCCTGAATCCCAGCCAGTTGAATGTTCTGGCTTAGGCCGGCAC